AAACTGAAAAACAAAAAGTGGCTTGCTAATATGGAGATTATTGAGGACTTTGATTGGAGAGAATTCAGTAGCGTAAGTCCTGAGGTGGATGGAGGTTTCAAATGGGGGAAAAAATATCTACAGTTCTTTAGAGTTTAGCTCAAAAACAGCACCAGCGGCTTTGTGTTTATTTATTTATACGTGCATTAGTTTCTTGCGGCTGCTGTAACAAATGCTGGAATCCCGATTGTCTAAAATAACAATGCATCTGTTCTTGAACAGTTCTGGAAGCCCAAAATCTGAAATCTGTTTCACCAGGATAAAACCCAGGTGTTAGCAAGACTGTCTAGAGGACTCTCAGGAAAATCCATCTCCTGGTGGCTGCTGTCACTTGTGGGTCACTGCCGCATCACTGTTATGGTCACACTGCATTTCTCTTCCTTTATTCTGCATCAGTTCTTCTTCTTCTCTCTCTTACAAGGATACTTGTGATTACTTTTAATCCACGAGAATTTTCCCATCTTAAAGTTCTTAATAATATATGTAAAAAAAATCTGTTTTCATAGAAGGCAACATTCCTAATCTTTGGGGGCCATTGTTCACCAGAACGACCCCTGGTAGGACAGTGCTTTATGCGTTGGGATGCTGACTAAGCAGTTGGCTGTTTGCATGCACCAACGGTTCCAAGGGAGTAAGAGGAGCAGACTGTTACTCTACAGACTGACAGCCGTGGATGCCCAGTGGAGGGTCATCGAGTTGGGATAGACCTCAGTGGGTTTGGTTTTGATCAGTCGCACCAGCATATCAAGTCACCAATGTATGTCCAAGCATCTAAACTAGTTAATTTGTAGGGATATTTGTAATTTTAAATGTAAGCATTTAAAAAAAAAAATCCAACCCTTCTTATGGTTTTGAAACCATTATTCAATATTTAAACTTGACAATTTTTTAAAATTGTTGTTTTGTTATGTGCCACTTGCAACTCACAGCGACCCTAAGTACAGTAGCCCTGAAACTTGTTCTATCCTGTGCCAACCTTATTGTCTCTGACACACCTACCCTCATTACCCCAGTCACTGAATCGCTCCATCTCATCGAGAGTCTTCCTTTCTTGCACTGTCCCTCCACCCTTCCAAGCATGACATTCCTCTCCAACGACTGGTCCCTCCTTGCAGAATGTTCAAAGTATGTCAGAAAAAGCTTCAGAATCTTTGCCTTCAAGAAGCAGCCTGGTTTCACCCTCTATAGGACAACCCGCTTGTTCTCCTAGCAGTCTATGGTATATATTCAATACTCTTTTCCAGCACTGCAGCTCAAAGGCATCAATTCTCCTATCATCCCTAGCCACTGTCCAGCTTTCTGACACATAGCAAGTAATTGCACAGACCATGGCCTGGATTAGGGCACACCTTAGTCTCTAGTCTTACATCATTGCTCTTCAGTACTCTGGCGAGGTCTCCACTTAACAAAAAAGTCAGTGATGCAGACCAACTAGCCACCATTTGAGGGGAAATGTAGCAATCTGCTTCTATAAAGATTTAAAGCCTTTGATACGCAATAGGGGAGTTCTCTTCTGTCCTGCAGGGTCATAATGAGTTGGAGGTGATTTGATGGCAGTGGATTTTAGGCTACTACATTGACCCTAGTGGTTCTGACTTCATTCCTGTAAACATTATTTAGTATACAAAAGCAAACTATTTTCAGCATTTTTGGTAACTTAATAACTCCTATGTCTATATCAATAAAGAGTATCATGTATTATACATGTGATACCATGTTAAATAGAATGTCTATTTTTGGTGTTAAAACTTTATGTTCAGAACTTTATGTTAATCCTTACATCTCAGCTAACTCCCACACGTTCTTTAGGATGAATCTACCCACCTTGTCCAATTTCATCACTTCCTATGGCCAGAATGACTGCACTTCTACCCTTGGTCCGATTCCCTCAGAGGACTTACCTTTCTTGTTAATTTGGAGGTCCCTGAGCTTAGCATTTATACCCGCCAGTGGAAAATCGGAGCTGCAGCAGAATTGCTAACAATTTCAGCTGTCCTCCCCTCTTGTGGACCACCTCCTTTCTTCCCCTTCTGTGCTGCCCCCAGATGCACAATAGAGTAACCCAACACTACTCCCTAGTCCTTCTAATTTAGAGACTTTCAGAACTCTACAGCTTTGCAAACAATGAAGACTGATTTTTTAAACAACAGCCTTTTGTGTCTGTACTCTGTTTAAAAAAAAACACCAAAAAAATAACATAGCTTGCTTTTGACAAATAATTCACCAATGTAAATGAAATCCACTAAAGTCAAAGGCACTCCTTTACTCCTGGGCCTCATTCTGAAAACAATTTCCAGATCTTTAAGGAAATACTTTCAAATGCTGTGAAAACAGGGAGGAAGAATGTTACACAATACATATTCATGTAGTTAACTCCCTTGGGTGTTTAATCTGTGGCCATTGTCACAGCTGCCACCCACTTTGCATACCTCTCTGAGATGGGCGTAAATGACTCAGACAAAGTCTCCTTTTCTAGGCACTAAGGGCCTTGTGACATTTTTCTCTGGGGCTGTGGTCAGACTCAAGCTCAGAACAGACCTGAGAAGGAGCCCAAGCTGACGTGTGTGAATTTGAATCCCAGCTCCATAATTGATTCCCTGCAGGATACAGGGTAAATCATTTCACTTTCTTGGGTTCTCACTTGTCGCCTCTCTAAAATGACCCCACTGAGTCACATAACTTTTCAACTACTTTGTTAAAATATGTGGTGGGCAGTAAGACCACTTATTTACATAGGCTCACAATTCACTTGTTATGTGTTGTTGAGTGGACTCCGACTCACAGTGACCCTTTGGGCAACAGTTTTGAACCCTGCTCTATCCTAAGCCAATTTCATCATCTCGGATACACCTGTCCCCATTACACCAGTCAGAGTCAACCCATTCATTCCATCTAGCATCCCCCTCTCATGTGCTGTCCTTCCACTTTTCCAAACATGATGTCCCTCTCCAAGGACTGGTCCCTCTGAAACATTCCCAAAAAGTTAGTCAGATAGAGCTGCAAAAGCCTTGCTTCCAAGGAGCAGCCTGGTTTCATCCTTCCCTGGACAGACCTGTTTGTTCTCCTAGTAGTCCATGGTATGTATATTCAATACTCCAGCACGAAAACTCAAAGACATAGATTCTTCCTATATCATCCTTAGTCATTGTCTAGCTGTCTGATCCATGCAAAGACCACAGCCTGGATAAGGCACACCGTAGTCTCCAAACAGACATCATTGTTCTTCAGTACTCTGGAGAAGTCCCTGACAGCAGATTTTCCAAATGAAATTTATCTTTTGATTTCCTGGTTGCTAGCTGGTACCAAGAGTATTGACTGTGGAGTCAAGTAAACTAAAGCTATTAACAATCTCAATCTCTTCACCATCTATCATGATGCTTCCAACTGACCCAATGGTGAGAATCTTAATGTTGAGCTTCAATCCACAATGAAGGCTGCAGGCCTTAAGTTTTTGCAGCAAATGCCTCAGGTACTCCTCGGTTTTGGAAGCATCAGTTTGTATTACTGCATAATGCAGGTTGTTGGTGAGTCTTCCTCCAATCCTGATGCCACATTCCTCCTCCTGGATGATTTCTTCCCGCAAACAGATTGAAAAGGTATGGAGATAGGATATAGGATGCTTTCTTGGTGTACATTTTTCCTGATTCTGAGCCATGCAATATTTCCTTGCTCTGTTCTGACAACTCCCTCCTGGTCCAAGTTATAGGGTTTATATAAACACAGTCAAGTGTGTCAGGATTCCCATTCTTCTCAGAGTCAGCCACAGTTTGTTGTGATCCACACAAATGCCTTTTCATAGTCAATGAAACACAGATAGACATTCCATTGGTACTCTCTGCTTTCAGCCATGATCCATCGAACATTGGCAATAATTTCCCTAGTTCCATGGCCTCTTCTAAACCCCGCCTGCACATCTGGCAGTTCTCCGTGGATGTTAGACATCGAGGAAACCCGCAGGTTACATTGGACAACTGGTACTTGCCCTTCATCATTATGTAAATTTGCTTTCACTTTGAAACAGTTCAACCAATCCCCATAGCCAACAATTTCTCCATCACAATCAGCTTTGCTCCCCTGTAGCTTTTAAATCGTGGAAATGGTTTCCAGACCTTTCTTACACTAATGCACCTCACCTCCACCAAACACACACTGCCATGGAGTTGATTTCAACTTAAAGCAATCCTGTAGGACAGAGTCGAGCTGCCCCAGAGTCTTTCCCGGGCTGTAAACTGTTGCGGAAGTAGACTGCTCCGTCTCTCCTCCTCAGCATGATGGTGGGTTTGCACTGCAACCGGAGCCAAGTTCTTTTTTTTTTTTTTTTTACTACCCAGGCTCCTCCTTGAGCTAAACAAAAAGCCTACCGGTTGAGTGGATTCCAATTCATAACAACCCTCCATCAGATTTCCAAGATGATACATCTTTACAGGAGGTGACAACCCAGCTCTCACCCTGGGCCTGACGGGGGTACTGCAGCAGCTGCTCCTGCTTTGCATGGCAGCCTGACAGGTAAGCCCAGAGCCACCCAAGCCCCTCCTCACACCAAGGGAAGGCTAAGCAAGAACTGTATGCACTTGTTATCAAGGCACCTCCAAGTCTAACTGAAGGACACACTTACGACCTGAGCTTGTTCATAACCCAAGGACTGACTGTATTTCTACTCTAAGACGGAATTGGAATACAGCTTTTACTGAGGAGAAAGAAAGGGAGTGGTGCAGGATTTCCAAGATATTGATTAGAATCTGCCTTTGCTAATTGTCTCCCCACACATTTTTCCATTTAAAAAAAAAAAAACCCAACAGAAAACCAACATAAGTAGTTTCCGGCATCTATTTTGCATCAGGGCTATTTGCTCTAATTGTAGTGACGTGACAAAGCGGAAAGAAGACCACTTCAGGTCACTGGGATACCGTCTCTCCCAACACTTTAATCATCGAGCCTGCCGTTAGACGACGTACACTCACCACTGGATGAAGTGGGGTTCCTGGAAACATGAATTGCATCTGCTGGGCAAGCATGGCTGCTGCAGTTTTTTGCTGGATCAAATTGTTCCTCCCATTAATTTCTAGTTGAGTTTTTAAATGTGTTGGAGGGTGAAGATACTTGCAGTTTTCTCTTGAACAACGGCCCTGTAAAAGAAACATTTGGTTTTAGATGTAAGTAGCTTACAACTCTATTGGCAATCATTCCACAATCGTTCCATATACAAAAGGCAATTATTCAGAGTGTAGGTGCACACATGTGTGCATTGGGGTGGGGGGGAGTGCACGCTTTACATGTTTATTGAGGTTGCCTCACATGTGTAGAACAGAAAACAGGTTCTTATTTTGTTTAACATTTTAAAAAAATTTAAAAATTATTATTATTATTAGCGCGTGTGTGTGTACCATCAAATCGGATCTGTCTGGTACTGGAGGAGATTGTCCCTCCTTCTCCAGCAGAGCATCTGGTGGATTTGAACTGTGCATCTCTGGGATTGCAGTGCAGCTTCTTGCCACTAGGCCACCAGAGCTCACCTGTTTTACATTTTTTAACAGAGAAAGACTCCGCAATAACCTGCCTTATGCAGATAACACAACTGTGCTGGCAAAAAGTGAGGAAAACGTGAGGCAGCACGTATTGCAGAAGATCAAAAACTACAATCTTCAATATGAGTTACATCTCAACATCAAGAAAATGCAAATTCTCACCACTGCAGTAATAGGCAACATCATGATCGATGGAAGAGATGTTTAAGTCGTCACTGATTCACAATCAACACCCATGGGAACAGCAGTCAAGATATCAGAAGATGAGCCGCACCAGAGCAATGTGATGTCCAGGACATTTCCAAAGGGTAAGAAGTGAGGATGCCAGTTTAAAGACTAAGGTTTGCCTGACGCAAGCCATGGTGTTTTCTATTGCTTTGTATGCATCTGAAAATTGGACAGTGAAGAAGGATGACCAAAGAAGATTCGATGTCTGTCAACTGTGGTGCTGGTAAGAGTACTGGATATATCATAAAGTGACAAAGGAACAAACACAGCTATTGGAGGAAGTGCAACCAGCGTGTTCCTTAGAGATAAGAATGGTGAAACTCCGTCTCACATACTTTGAAACATCATGCTGGGGAAGGTGTAGGGTCAGAGAAAGAAAAGAAGACCCGCCACCAGACTGATTGGCACAGTGACTGTAACCATGGGCCCAGGCCTGTTGGAGATTGTGAAGAAGGTGCAGGATAAGGCAGGGTTCACACCGGTCTCTCATAGTCACTACAAATCACGGCTGACTCAACAGCACCTAACAACAACAACAAACGCTCCCAATAGGCACCCCCCCCCCAAAAAAAAAGGTACTGTTGAGGGCCAACACAGAGAATTCTAGACAGGAAGGAAACCAAGCAGAAGAGCAGGCTTTGTGGGACCCACCGGAAAGTCTTTGAACTTGCTAGACGCTGGTCTGTGCACGCTGGGGTGATGTCACAGTATGAATGCTAATGTGATACATTTGTGCACTCAGATATATAAGACCTTCCTAAATGAACATGTTCTAGACTGGGAGCTCTAGTAGCCAATGGTAAGAAACTGCGTTTGCAATTAGAAATGCAGGGGGTTCAAACCCACCAGTTGCTCTGTGGGAAAATGATGGGCAGTCTCCTCTCATGTGATTTACTGTCTCTGAAAGCCCACCGGAGGGTCAGCTATGTGTTGATTCTGATAGCACAACAGCCCTCCACACACACGTACGTTCAACAATGGCACACAACCACAGCAAGATTGACTGAAGACATCCCTCAATTGTTCAGTTTCTTTTATGAGACAATGGTGGTATAGGAGAGGATGTTTATCTATAATACACACATAGGGAACATTTCCAGGGATAAATATAAGTAGTGATTGATTAGCTCACCAATGACAGCAATTGATCACTGCACAAAATCAGCCACTTAGGTCCCACTGACCTCCATGTCAGATGTATTACATTTGATATAATTATATGACATAGTAAAGAATTCTTATGACCGATTCAAGTTAACAATTGGACATTAAAACTTGCAAAGAGAAAAGAAATGAATAAAAAAAATAATTAGGTGACAGGTATGCATAAAATAGGCCTGACAAGTAGTTGTAAATCGTAATGTTTATGCTAGTTTTCCAAAGTAGCCATTGAGAGAAACATGTTTGGGTAAATTACACAATTTGTGAAATAAAGCAAAGCAAACTCTGTAAACCAGCATGAGTATTATCATTCCCTAAAGAACGAGGCCATTTGCAACCAAGGGGAAAAAAATATGGGTTTGTTTACCAGATAAAGACTAATTTCTAAAAAGCAAGCTTGCTACATTTGTGGAAACAAATGTGTTTACAGTCATCTTCGTTCTCAACATCTGGAGTCCTCACTCCACTTCCCACTAATTTCAGCGGCACTTTTGACAGTGCGGGAGTGTGTTGCTTCCCCTGCCAGGGAGAAGGTAGATGTGGGCCCCAGGCTCAGTCCTGGTGTCTGTGCTGGTCAACTGAACGCTATCCTGAGGGCCTACTGTTGGTAGCACTAGCAGTTACATCACCTTTTACAGGGAAGAGATAGAAATTTAGGGCATAAATATTTAGGGCATCAGGAGAAACGGATCCTCATTTTCTGCTAATAAATGCCTTCAGAGGTCACTGTCAGCATTTCTCTAGCATCTCAAGTTCACACTATGGCTGCTTCATTCAGCTTTCCATGTAAGAATATGGACCTTTACAGCAGACTTTCCAACACTTGACTTTATAAGATGCACATAAGTAAGTGGATTAGGTTAAGTCTTGGAAAGTCACCTCTAACGATCTGGAGTGCATGGTAGTGCAAATTATTAACCATTAACATGCTCTTTGCTCACAGAAATGTGGTGGTTCAAGTCCACTCAGAGACACTTCAGCAGAAAAGCTTGGTAACAATTTGAAAAGCGCAGTCAAAACTATGTGGAGGATTGTTCTAACTGGACACATTTGGAGATGTCATAAGGTAAAGTTGGCTCAGAGGCAATAAACTTGACCTTGTAACAATACACGTAAACAGAAACCACAACTGGGAAATAATCTGAAGAGAAACAGTCTAGAAATTCCACTCTCTCTCTCCATGTACTTCTCTCAGCAAAACTTATGGTTTGGCAGATTCTCTGGGTTCCTTGGGGCTTAACAACTTGCTCTAGGAATTTGGATGCAGGAGTGGCATCCAATTCCTAAATAACGTGCCTCTGGAAACTCTATGAACTTTGAGAAACCACGATAGCTATCAAAAGGCTTCAGGACTCTTGGTCATGGCATCACTGTGAGTCATGCATGATTCGACTGCAATCAACAAAAACAACAACAACATCTCTTATTTATTTACCTCTCTGAATTCCATCGATAATCACCTAAGTCTTTGCTAATAGATATGAACATTCAAGAAAGCAATGAGATTGGACCAACTCCTTGGACATAGGTCTCTGACTAGGATCCCGGTTGGCTACATTTTGGTCAGTTACCTCAATACAATCTAATCATGTACGGTGGGAGAAAGCCATCAGGCACAAAAACATAGCTGTTGTCCCGTCAGTTGTTTTTTGTTATGTAACATCAAGTTGGAACCAATTCATAGCTGAACCTCCAGTGCGTTTTCAGGGAGTTATTCATTTGAAGGAGTTTGCCCATCTTTCTCCCATGGAGAAGCTGGCAGATTTGAACCAGGGGCCTTTGGGTTGGCAGCACAATTCGTTACCACTAAGCCACCAGAGCTCTCCCATCAGTAGGAAGAAGAAAGAAATAGAATGGCATTTCATGTCTAGGTGATAAGTCACCCCAACCTGCTCTCCAAGTACCTCAATCTGAATGTTCCTTATGCACAAACACTTCAGCTGGACATTGATACCCAAACAAGTTGATGAATACAAGGTGAACTTAAAGGTCTTTATACATAAACTCACAGATGGGTCTAATGAAAGTAATTGAGAAATGTACCAGTTTGACACTTAAGCTGAATTGACTCAATAATTGTCAATGTGGTGGGTAACTTTTAATGTAGTGCTTTGGAGCTGCACCTACAACTTTATGGGCTACTAAAAACCAAGAATGCAGGGGAGCTCTGGTGGCCTAGTGGCAAGAAGCTGTACTGCAATCCCAGAGGTACACAGTTCAAATCCACCAAATGCTCTGCCGGAGAAGGAGGGACAATTTCCTCCTGTATCAGTCAGATCTGATTTGACGGTACATACAAAAAAAAAATGAATAAATAAAATAAAAAAAGAACCACACCAAGCATGCTTGCAGCAGCAATAACTTTGTAAATTATTATCTAACTTGGGAGGGACTGGAGAGCATTATGCTTAGTGAATTAACTCAGTCCCATAAGGATAAATATTGTATAGAACCATTATTGTAAAAGGAGTATAAGGATCCAGGAGGGGTGGGAGATGCTGGAAGCAGAGGGATGTGGACGTGCAGGGGGATGGAGGGATTAATCATTGGGTTGTACAATTTGATGGGGGAAGGGTGAGAGAAATTGAAAGAACTTGTTCAAACTAGTTGGAAAATAAAAACAGCAAGGGAGAGGGGAATGGGGAATGAAACTGATAGTGAGATTAGCCTTTCTGAGATCTCCTCCCACTGGGGAGGGTCACTCACAGTAGCAGGGATAAAAAGACAGAGTATGTCTCTTAATGTTGCCATAACAAAAATAAAACTCTGTAGCGTTAAACAAATAGAAATTTATATTCTCATACTTCTGGAGATGAAAAGTTAAAAAAAAAAATTTCCATTCATTTATTGTTCCACTTTTCTCCCTGCCCACCCCTCCCCAAAGTACACTCTTCTCTTTGAAAAGTAAAGGAAACATTTTCATTGTTTTACGATCCCTTCCCCCAGGTCCACTCTACTATGCAGCCTTCATTCTATGACAATAATACCTTATCACATATCCCTTTTAAACAGTTTTCTCCCTCATCTGTTTCTGTTTATTTGAAAAGTAAAAAGAAAAAAATAAAAATACAGTGTACTTATAAATGCTAGGGTGTTTGAAAATAATTTTTTTGTTGTATGTATATATAGGAAAACATATACCAATACAACAATTTCTACTTGCACAATTCAGTGACAATGATTACATTCTTCAAATTGTCCAACCATTCTCA